CGGGGGGGGGGGGGGGAGCAAGTGAGCGGCTGTGTAGTGCTCAGTTGCCAACTGAGGTTAAACCACGACACGTACTTCGAGATTTTAAATCACATCTGTATCATTGCAGATATAAGTCACAGCATAAGCAGATGTGCATTAAGCAATGCAGGATTCTCCAAGAAGTGTAAAGTTGAAGAACTAATTAAAAGATAAAGCATTTAGAGTTTGAAACATTAAAGACTGCCCACATCAGTGTTGACAAATTAAGAAATTGTCCTTCAGTACTTATTCCAAGCAAAACTGAAGGATGAGAAAATTTTAGTGCTCCAAGTTAAATCAATTTAAACTTAGGACATGTCTCTTCTGAATAGTAACTTAGTAAGAATGCACAGTAACCTTCAATTATCCTGAGTTTTATTCTCAGAAAGCTAGATATTCAGTCCTAAGTCACATTACAATCCAAGTAAATATGATAATGATGCTCTGCCTACTATAGAAAACACTGGATTACGTCTCACCCCCAACTCAGCATATATGCTACAACCTGCTCCCCATTCACCTGCCTTTTTTTTCCTTTTCTGTTCATACATGGCAGAGCTGGCAATTAAAGTGGGGGAGTGTGGGGAGGGGGAAAAAAAAAGAGCAGTTTTCATAGAAATTATGAAGTTACAGCTGCACAACAGACTACAAAGTTGGTCAACTTTCTTAAGAGAAAGTTGACACACACTGTTTGCTTTTCCTGGGAGGCAGTCAAAATAATGTAGTGGTCTGAGCAGTAGACAGAGTCCAGATTCCAGGATCCTACATAAATATACAAGAAAACACTAGTGCCTAATTTATCACTGGTGAAGTGGTTTGAAATAGGTTTTGTAAGCCTGAAGTACTGCAGAGCTTAGGATCCACACAGTTAATACATTTCATATGATGCTTTTTTAAAACATTAGCATAAAGTATTAACCTTCAAACAAGAATTCTACCTGCTCATATTGTACTTTATTCAAGCATCTAGCATGGGATAACAGACTGTTAGTCATTATACTAAATCACTGACACAAGCTGTTACCTAAACTAATCATTGTGAAAAACTTCAAGGGGCACACACAGAAGATAAATTATATCTACTTGAACAGTTCTTATTGCCTAGATTGGAGATAAATGTTAAGTCTTCATTACACAACTGTGAAAAAGGACTGAATAAGAAAGAAAATTAATGGAAAAATGTCATTAAAAGATCTTTCAATTTAGAAGATGCAATTTCTTTGAGATCCTAAAAGCAATCCAAAAAAGATCTATGGGAACAGAACTCTACCTAGAGTGCTACATATAATGCAAAAAACTGTTAGTCTTCTAATTCCTCATCTGCGTTATTCTAACTTAAGATCACATCAATTCAGTTCTACCAGATATTTCAAAGTTCAAAACAATCTGAATCAGTATCAGTTACAATTAAAAAAAAATTACAACTATTTTCACAATAGGTATTTCCTGACAAACTAGCTACGCTATAAATTCTCTAGCTATAGGGAAATGAAACATCTTCAATAATGATAAATTTAATGAAATGTGTAAACTTAATTAAGTGTGAAAATAGAGAAAGAGATATACTAATAACATAGAAAACCTCTAGGGAGCTAGTCAGCATATTTAGATTAAATATCTAATGTGTTTAAGTGTAATATGTTAATCCTGATATTAAACCAATATCAAAATAGATAGACATAAAAAACCAAACATGGCACCTTGTACTATAGCAGTATAAGGATGAATAACTTGGATTAATATAATCTTGAAGCTGAATGGTCATATAGATTAATATGAAAATGCTCTTTGGGTAAGAGCATCTTACCCAAATTTGGAAATTACTCACTGTTCAGATGTTTCTAGAAGAAAGTAACCAAAACTTACCAATTCTTTTACTCTGCTCTTCTCTAGGTTTAGCTTTAACTTGTTATCTGCACGAACTTTGGTAATTTCATCCTAATGGGAAAAAATTGGTAAAGCAGCAAGCAAGATTTTCTATTTAGTCATAAGCAGAAAAAATTAGACAAATACATTGTGCCTTCCTTTACATATCTCAGGAATCAAGCTTCTCTCCAATTAATGTACGTAATTTTCTGAAGTATAAATATTCCTATTCTTCCCCCGGTAAATACTCATGTTCTATAGTATGAATTGGATCTCAGAATCAAAAACTAACAATTGCTTTTAAAACCAGGACACTGAGAACAGCAGTTAATTGAGAGCACATCCTTCTATAAATGCTGGGAATGTTTCATATATCCCGTAACTCTCTCCAATTTCTAGAAACCCATACCTAGGTATGCATGTAAGTTGGACTTCCTCCATGAAACTAATCTTGATGCTCAAAATAACTTTAAAAGCAGTTTCTAACCTTCCAATGTAAAAAAAAAAAAAATCTGTTTCTAAAGACTACATCTAGGGCTTTCAGAAAAAGCTACAGACATTTTAGAAGTCAGGAAACGTTTATTATACTTTTAAACATCTAACTTTTTTAAACTACCTAAGTTGTACGCTTGCATTTTACTTCATCAATAGCTGTAAGTGATTCCTGCTTTTCTCAGTGACAGCTGCCATTTTAATGCAACCTCCTGGCAGGAATTCCAGCCAGCTGACAGTTTGTCATGAGGCAAACTGCTGATCAGATGAATTTGTGGGAGAAGCAAAAGACTGCTGATGTTCTGGGAGATTCTACTATTAAAAACAAGTAAGCATCTCTCAAGTAGGCCAATGTCGACTAATCAAGAGTTCATTAAGTTAGAAATTCAGTCTGATTATTGTTCATACTATGTTTGAATTTTCAACCTTTAACTGGTCTATAACTAGATGTCATTACAACACAATACATTACAGTTTAATGAATCAAAAAATTAGAAATACATTTCTCAAACTTTTACAACATTGTGTCGTCTTGTCTTTTAGAAGAACAAGTATGAGCAAACGTAATTCTCACAAGGGCAAGTTATTTTATATTTACAGTTAAAAGTGAAATTTAAAGACACCTAGCTTTTAAGAAAAGATGACTCGGATCCTTGACCAGTGGATTACGTTAACTAAAACCATAAAATAAGTTACAATTCAAAAATTAGATGCCAAAAGTATTTTAAAATGGTATTCTGAAAACCCAGATGCATTAAGCATTTCATAACACAATATAAAACATGTAGGATTAGCCTTGAGAAATTTATGTTCTCCTTTTGGAGATGACAGTGCAAAAAGAAACTTGAGAGAATAGGAAAGAAACGGCAAGGAGGCACTAGGCTGAGTTTGACCACATTGCCAGCTAGCTCAACAAGTCCAACATTCTGCCAGTTTCATGGACAAATCCTAGGGAAAGAAGAATGCTCCATCCTTCCAGCTAAGGACATTACAGCAGGAAGCAGCAGTTCTCAAGTCAGATGACCATACGCCCTAAAAATAGTTAATGTTTCCCAGTTTCCAGTCTTAATCACTCTTGCAAGAACGTTTGTTTCTGTGTAAAGGCTGCTCATGAGTCCACACCCATTGAAATAATAGATTTTGAGACAATCTTGGTTTTGGTGGTAGAAGGGTGTTTGGAGTGCTATTCAAGACAAGCAAACCATAAAGAACAGAAACGCAGCACTGATGCTTAAACCTGGCAAGAATAATAATCTGTATGATAACTAACAGAGAGATGGGAGATCTCCAGTTTTCTCCAGAGAGTCTGTTTTCTTGCAAAGGTCATTTGCTCCCAAACAAATGGGACCAAACATAATGGTCCCAAACTTAGTGACCTAAAGAAGCCATTTAAAAGCTATTTTAAGTTCTGGACAGCTAACAGATACATCTTCAGACAAAAAACAAACAACCCAACAACCCCCCGCCCAACAAAAAAACCCAAACAAATTAGAAAGTGTTGTAATTTTGAAAGTATGTTGCATCTTTACACATAACAGGCAGCCCTAAATGCAGAACTTCACTCAGCCTTAACAATGACATGGCAGTTAGCCACTTTCTGAATCTAAATTAAGGACATGTAAGTAAAAAAATCTTCAGTTAAATTTTTCTTCGCCTCTTGTACCATTCATAGTTCTCTGTCACCATAAGTGACGTATGCATGAAATTGTTTTTGCTGCAGCTCACAGTGTACCATCAACTGCAATTTCAGTATCCTGTATATCACAACAATTAAGCACAGCTTTTAAAATAAAACCTTGAAAGCAACAATTATTTTTTATTTAAAGCAAACTAGACAGGTGTTAATTCTTAATTATATTGGTACGGTATCTTACCATGACTTGCTTCTTTATCTGCTGGAGTTCAAGTTTTATTTTCTGGGAGAGTAGAAAAAAATTGTACACTTTATTACTGTATATAAAAACACATCATCTAGAAATACTAATGAATTTGCACGATCAGTGACAATGACTATAATCCATAATGTGAAAAGGCAGACAAAACGAGTGTGGTTTAACTCTATGTCCTCAGTATGTGTATAGATATGTTTATCATATCTATACAGTGCTGTATACTCAGTGCTGTGCATTTCCAAACAGCAGCACAAGACAGAAGCTAGCAATATCCCACAGCAGTAAAGGTGGCCAAATGCATAGGCTGGTATAAACAAGAATAAACCCAGCAGGCCAAGGGAAGTGATTATTTCCCCATATTTAGCACTTGTCAGCCTGCACTGGAAGTGCTGTGTCCAGCTTTAGGCTCCCTGGCGAAAGACAGATGTTGACATACTGGAGCAAGTGCAGTGGAGGGCCATGAAGATGGTGGGGGGCGAAGAGGAGAGAGAGCTGGGTTTGTTCAGCTTTAAGAAGAGATGGATAAATGGCAACCGTACTGCAGTCTGCAACTACCTAATGTTCTCTAGTGGTCCTTTCGAACTCTAATTTTTCCATTACTTTATCTCTTTCAAAAAAATACATGAAATAGAATATGCTACAGCTATACCTATTAACTCTCTCTGGAGATCATCCAGTCCAATCTCCTGCTCAAAGCAGAGGCAACCAGAGCAGGTTGCTCAGGGCCACGTCCAGTTGGGTTTTGAGTATCTCCAGGATAGGGACTCCACAGCTTCTCTGGGTATCCTATTCCAGTGTTCTACCACCCTTACAGTAAAAAGGGTTTTCTTATGTCTAAATAGAACTTCCTGCATTTCTGTCTGTGCCAATTACCTATTGTTCTGTCACAGGACAACACCAGAAAGAGCCTGTCTCTGTCTTCTTTATACCCTCCCTTCAAATATTTGTATACATTGATGAGATCCCTGCTGAGCCTTCTCTTCTCCAGGCCAAACAGTCCCAGCTCTCGCAGTCTTTCCTCATATGCCAGATGCTCCAGTCCCTTACTGATCTTTGTGGCTGTTTGTTGGACTCTGTCCATCATGTCCAAATCTCCCTTGCACTGAGGAGCCTAGAACTGGACCCAGCAAGTCTCACCAGTGACAGGCAGAGGAGAAGGATCACCTCCCTTGACCCACTCGAAGCCCTCCTAACAGCCCAGGAGGCTGTTGGTGGTCTTTGCCGCAAGGGCTCATCGCTGGCTCATGGTCAACTTGGCATCCACCAGGACCCTCAGGGCCTCTTCTGCAAAGCTGCTTTCCAGCTGGTCAGCCCCAGCCTGTCCTGGTACATGGGGCTATTCCTACCCAGGGGCAGGGCTTGGCATTTCCATTTGTTCCAAATTCATGAGGTTCCTGCCATCCCATTTCCCCAGCTTGTTCATGCCCCTCTGAATGGCAGCACAACCACCTGGAGTATCAGCCACTGTTCCCAGCTTTGCATCATCTGCAGACTTGCTGAGGGTGCACTCTGACCCATCAACAAGGTCATTAATGAAGGTGTTAAACCATACTGGCCCCAGAGCCAACTCCTTGGGTACAAGATGCTTTTTTACATCATTAGAAAAAATAAGCAAGTGCTAGAATAGCACTTTCCAAGATAGTGATTTTTACCTCATTTTCTGAACGAAGTGCTGAAAATTCACTTTTTTCCAAAATAATCATGTCCTTTTTCACGCCACCAATATGGGACATTACTTGCTGAAGTGCAATTTCCTTTAAAGGAGGGAAGAAAAAACCTCAGAACATATCATAACTATAATGCTTTTTCTCATCAGTGCCTACAAATATCATAGGCTATTTTGATACCCTGAAGTTTTTAATTCAGCAATTTCAGATTGATCATCCCGAGTTTCAGAAAGCAAGATAAATTAAGTGACAGAATAAGCAAATTAGGCTCAAACGTTGGTAATGTTTGACAAAATTAGCAGTGCTAACACAGATCAGAATAATTCAATTAATAGCCTAGGAAATAGTTTTTTTCCAAGCCTTCAAATTCTTAAGCTAGCAAAGGCATTAGGGAGGGAAGATGCATCTCTGAGCTAAATGAGGAAAGCTGGCTTTCAGACCAAAACTCCTCAGTGCAACCATATTCTTTTGTAATTACCTCCTTTTTTAGCTCCCCCTGCAAGGGGGCTCGCTCTGCTTCACTACTCAGAATCATGCACTATACTTACACTTGTAATCGCTCTTCTCAGTCTGTTATACTGAGCTGACAGAAGACAAACAAGAATTCTCTGGAACTTTTGAGGATGGAGAAGCCTGTAGACATTGTTCTAGATCCTACACTATCCGCACATGCAAACAGGGACTGCCTTCTCTTCTCTGAAGATCTCCCCCTAATAAGTAGTCCCTTGCTTTTGGTTCTGGACTAAGAACCCCACAAATCTGACTCAGCACTCCAGCTTCACTTTTGTTGGGAAATGCTATTCTAACTTAGTGTTACATGTTTAAGTGGCATCTGGACATGCCTCACCAGGCTACCTGACCACAACACTGAAAAAATGGCTCAGTGTACTAGACATGTTACAAAAGAGTCTACAGAAACAGTACTTCCATGGACACCTCCTCTCTTACTCCCCGATGTCTCCAGCTTGCTTTTGTTCTCTCCCCTCTTCACTGAACTCTTCCATATTCTCTCTTCTTCATCTCCATACACACACACACAGTCATCCCCCCCCCCCAAGACTTTATCTAACCAGTGTAATATTTCATCTGTTACACACCCAATTAGGGCCTAATGGTAATAGCTACATCCACAACTTTCCAAATCTTCCAACTCATCGTTCTCTTTTTGCGTAAGCTCTTATGCATTCAAAGACTATAAGGAACTACATGTTCTATCATGTTGCCCAGAGTTCATGGCATACACACCTCCTGAGCTGCTTCTATCTTAGCATGCCATACAACCCTGCCCATTTCAATCTTAATGACAGAAAGTCACCTGAGGGTGGAATCTACCAGACAGTCTCAGAAAACATCTACCATCAGGAGCAACAAAGAAAAACCTGTCTACTTTCATTCAAAAAAAGCTGGGCATAGAAGGAAGCAGAGATGCAATGACTGCTTATTGTAAAATATAGCCAACCATGGGAGAAAGGGTCCCTTTAACATTACGTTCTCTGACTGTGGAACAAATTCCACACAGGGGGAGGAAGCTCACCCAAGTCTGCTTTGCCTGGAATCTAGGAGGTAGGAAAGATGAGCTGAAGCCTCCCTATATGGAAGGTGGTGCAAAATCCAGGTATTCCGCTTCTTAATGAGATGCCCTACTGCCAAGACTATTATACTACAGAGACAGCAGCTGGTGTTTTCTCAGGTTTTAAGACAGCAGCCTTATTACTATGGAGTAAGTTAAAGCCTGTGTTCAGAAGGTGACTTGGGGCCATGAATCCCAGCTTCACAGAGCAGCCCAAGAGGTTGTACTTCAGCTATGCTTCTTGTCAGCATTGTCTGTCTGACTAGTTCACGTATCAGGGAATTCAAGCATACCAGGTATCGTGAATCCCATTCAAAGATGCTTAAGTTCCACATGCAGTGAATCATGCCTTACTCTGAATTTCAGTTTCATTTCTGGAGCCAGATGCCTAAGAGCTCAACGTGGCAATATTCAACACTGGCATGTCCAATTCCTTACATGGATCTACCTCTGTGTGACCTGACAAAGGGCCCCAGAAAAATCACAGCCAGTATCAGAACAAGAAGCCTTGCCTCCAGACACAATTATTCATTAAAACAATCGTTCCCTCACAAGTCAAAGCTAACAATTCAGTTCAGTTGTACGCAATTTCCTGGTAGTCAGAAAGGATCTCTCTAGATACTCAGCATTATCAGTCTATTTCCAAGGAAGTTTTCTTCACTTCCTGGCACCAAGATGTATATGCTGGGTAGGTTTAGACGATACCATGAACAATGTATGCATCAAAGGAAAAGGAGATAGATTTCAATATCAGCATCCAAACTATCCATGTTCCTATATGTTACCAGTGTATACAACCACACTAATCATACCCTAAAAACATTATATAAAAAAGAAATTCAGCTCAATTCTAATCCAATATAAATGTCATTGTGACACAGAGAGATAAATAAAAAGGTACCACATAACAGGGTGGTAAATCACTGAGGGAATCTGTACCTCCTTGTTACAAGTCTAAAAAAGAATATATGTAGGAACTGTAACTATTCAAATCCATGCATTGAATACCTCCTATGTCTGTCTAAAAGCATTCTCAGTAATTCTATTTCATGCTACAATAAGGTTGAAACCAAAAAACTACCTGTGGTTTGCGTACCAACTCACAGTACCTAAATCTCAAGGTCCACCACAACATTTTGGTAAGTATTTAATAAATTCAAGACAAAATTCACCAGCCAATAAATACACAGTGATGTTTGTTCACCTTCAAACTTTTAAAATACAGTGTCTAACAGTAATAAATAGCAACATATATTTCATTAGCAGGCATACTAGCTTTTGATTTACTTCAACCCCACCATCGCCTTTGAGCTAACCTGCTGTACTTTGGTGACCATGTCCTTGTAAATCATATCCAGGTTGGTGTTCATAATTTTCACTAATGCAGATACAATGACCTCCGACTGCTGAGTAGTGAACCCTAAGCAAAAGAAAATGCAACAACATTCAGAGAGAGACCTAAATCTGGGCAGTTTAGAGAAATGTCACTTGCTAATACTCAGCACCAAGTTAAAACAAATGTCAGTTATGAAAGATAATAAAACATACTCCTCTTGATCCAGCACTAACAAAAGAACACAACCAGTCAGTACATCCAAGTTCCTTCACCCCAAAATTATGTCTGTGACATAGTATAGCTGCTTCTCTAGTACAGCACTATTACAATATCAGCAGGATAAATGCTGGAAATTTTCTAGAAGTATTATGGAATGTCATCTCTCACATGTCGTTATTTCTAGGAGCAAGAATTCTGACCCTGAAAAGCAGATACCGACTTTCAGTATACTATAAATCTTTAGAACCACTGAAGATGTGCAAAACTCAAGAACTAAAACCAGAGCTAGCCGCTCTGATTTTAGGCCTACCAGCCTCTGAGTCCCTATTAAAAACCTTTTAAACTGAACATATTGGAAACTACTGTAAAACATTGTCCCTAGAAATACTCTCAATTTTTCCACTTTCAAAATGTAGGAGTAAAAACGTCATGAACAAGATTTAATCATTATGAAAAGAAACACTTGCAAAACCATGATTGTTTCAAACTAACACACAGTTCAGCGTTAAAAAGCATATATGTGGTCTGAGAGTGAGTCGCTTTCAATAGCTGAGCCGATATAATAGTTTGCCACCACCAAAAGGAAGAGATACCCCTCCTCCCTCTCTCCTTATCCCTCCTCCTGCCAGTTTGTATGTGTCCTGGTGCTCACACAACTGCTCTGTGGGCTCATTAAACTAGCATCTCATAATACCAATCAAGCAAAAGAGCTGCAGAGTTTTCTGAGAATTAGGCTGGCACATGGAAAGAGATGAAGCCACGTGGCAGGGACCTCTCCTTTTCAGGGATGGAGAGCTGTCAGAAGTCAATTCAGCTGTACTGAACTTCACCTTAAGGTACCTTCCCCACCTCAGCAACATTAGCATGAATCCAAAATAATCTATTCCCTTATCTATGTTTTAGCATAAAAGCAGCCATATTTTATATAGTATTCTACGTTATATCCTAAAACCTGCATTTTACATAATAGTCCGTATTCAATCCTATTATAACACATTGTTGCATATTCAAGGTGGTATATACTAAATATGTAGGAATCCAATTAATACATGTTAAACACTACCTTGAAAACTGTTTTTTACTTTCGATTCTTAAAATCTAATTTCTCTTCAGCATTTTTAATTACCCATAGGATAATAAATTATTCCAATCAAAGTTATAAGCTCACTGTTTCCTTTTGGAAGTAGAAAAAACTTACATGTTCTTACCCAGTACATTAAAAAAAAAAAAAATCCATAAAACTGAAGCTGTAACATCATGTGTCAAGAAGTAACAAACTTTGTAAACAAAAAACCCCACACTCATGAGAGGACATTGAAAATAGCTACCCATTTCTAGCAAATTACCATTTTCTTCCAAGAGGCACACCAGCGCATGAGTGTCAAAAAAAAGCTTCCTGTTTCCCAATAAGGAAATATTCCCTTTGCTTTGTAAAGATGATGATGCAGAGGTGCTCACATCTGAAAAAAATAAACAAAACATAAGTTATTTTTTTAAAAAGGAATATTTAATCAACATGTTTGCTTTCCAGGAGCTTCCTTAGTACCCCAAATATTTTTCATTTATGACAAAATATTAGATTCTGCGTTGAGATTATCGCAGCTTGCTTGAAACTGAAAAGGTATCTGACTGACAAGCTCTATGCACAAGAGCTTTAAAATAGAATACAATGATACTGCTGCACTTCTGAGATGCTCTCCAAGAATATCCTGTCCTAGAAAAATCCCGCCAAGTGTCAGGGTCGGAAAAGCATTCCTTTACTGTTACCAGTGTAAAATGTGGAAGCTGTGAGCACTTCATAGCTTTGAGGACTAAATCCACAGACTCTTTCCATTCTTTGTTACAGAAACAAACCTTCATCGGTTGCCCTTTAGATGCTAAATTGCTATTAGAAGAACTACAAACACATTTCCCAAATATCAGTATTACAGAAGTCACGAATTCAGGGAAATTTAACACCAGTGCATAAACTAGCTGACAGAAAGAACGTAAGATGGAACACGAGGTAAACTGTCTGGAGGCAGAATTCTCTGTCCTCAAAGACATTATATTTTAAAACACCTGGGTGGGCAGAAAACACGACTATGCCTTAGCTGTCTTACTTAAAGATCAATAAAGGGCAACCCATTTAAGCCTTCGGGCGGGGGGGGAAACCCAGCCCTAATAATTACCCCTACGGCCAGTTCACAAAGCTGCTGCCGACAGGTCCTTGCAGGCCCCCGGACCCCCACGGCACCGAACTCCCGGGGGCGGGTGAGGTGACGGGGTCACGGGTACCCCCACCCCCC